AGTAACACAAACACTAGCATCTTACCGCGCTCTTCTCCCTATATCATTACCGCAATGTCGCTTTTCAACTTCTTCAACAACGACCCCTTCTCCGAGTTCGACCGCCTCTTCGACGATGCCTTCGCCCGTCGCACCAACGGCACCGGCGCGAACCCGGGCCAAGCTGTCCAACGTCAGCAGGACAGCCAGAACCAGGCCCCGCCCGTCCTCCGCCCAAGGTAAGCGCATCCTCCTCCTTATCTCTTAGTGAATTTGAGCACAGAAGCTGACACGGAGGCGTTGCAGGGTTGACATTCACGAGGACAAGGAGAAGAACCTCGTCACCGCGACGTTCGAGCTCCCGGGCATCTACAAGCAGGACGTGAGCATCGACGTCCACAATAACCGCCTCACCATCTCGGGCGAGTCGAGGTTCGAGAACGAGGATCGCAAGGAGAACGGGTACGTCCTCCGCGAGCGCCGCTTTGGCCGCTTCTCGCGCTCGCTGCCCGTCCCTCAGGGCATCAAGGTAAGCCGTTTTCGCCTGGCACTTGGTAGCGCAGTTCAACGAACTCAATTCTATTTGATATAGCCCGAGGATATCAAGGCCTCGATGGAGAACGGTGTCTTGACGGTTACCTTCCCGCGCCAGACCGCCGAGCAGCTTCCTAAGCGGATCACCATCTCGTGAGGAGGTCCCGCAGTTGGTCACGTCGCTGTCTTCCGATTTTAACACTATACTAGCGCTGCACCAGAAGTGCAAATAGTGAAATCATGCAACAGAAGTGCAAATTAAGGCGCTATTCATCAGACCCTCATCAAATGACCGGATCCTTTTTGTGTCGTGTGCGTATGAAGCTTCTCAATAGTATCGTAAAAGAATTGGAAAAAACGGTCTTGAGGTTGTCAAGATATTTGACTATTAGTTGGAAAGATGAGGGGCTTCACGACATCAATGCCCTCGGCTCACTGTTCTTGCAGTCTGATTCTCTCCAAGGTTCAATATGTGTTCGTAAAGTGCAAGAAGAACTTGTGTCTATTTTTCCGAGGCTATAGGAGCAATAGGTGGGCCTAGAGAGCTGAACGAGTTCCTGAGCGTGACAAGTAGCCACCTTCGGGCTGTCGGAGCTCCAAAAGGACCCGATCTCAGTCTAGCCGGGATAGCGGAGGTGTGTGTCTTGTCCCAGCGGGGTTACAAAATGCCGCCGATTGCCGTTCGACCGCCCGTGACGCCGCCGTTACTCAGACGCTCCAACTAGTTGCATTACTGTTGCACTCAATCTTCTCCCTCGGGTCTCCCAATCGCTCCGTTCTTGAAGCTCGAAAAACTGTAGGTGATAGGTGAGATGTCACAGAATGTACTTATGAAGATCCGGGAGTACAATCTCGAGTGACTCGGGAGATTTGTGAGTAAGAGCGCGGATTTTGCACTTCTGGTGCAGCGCTAGTACCCCTGGGGATCTCATGTAATCGCATATCTATAATGTATCAATAGCAATCAATTCCAACCTCTTGAACTTGAATGAGTGCAACGTGGAACTACCATTTTGCTAGGTGCCTTTGCTGTGGCCACGTCTTGACCATATCATTCGTCAGAACGGAATCCTACGAGATAAGTACTCTTGCAGTGACAGTTGAGTTTGCGACATGAGGCTATGATTAGATTGCTAAGTACAACGGAAATAAGTGTAAGGTACAGTACACAACGTTTTGGTAACGACCGAAATGATTAAGGAAAGGAGTGAGTAGACTTTTGTGCTCGAACGAACGAGATACCGAACACCCGCTAGGACGCCACGTCCTCATCCTAAAAACAAAGTCGTCTGGCTCGCGAGGAAGAGCAGTGTAAGCGGTATCGCAAGCGACATCGCCCACCCGATCTGCGAGCGCAAGTCGTCTCCACCGCCGGGCGTGTTGTGCGTCGCCGAGGAAACCTGGTGCTCCCCTGTGCCCGTCGCGATGTTCGAGCACATCGTCCCCTTCGGGCTCAACGCCGACGCCGGGAGCAGGACCTAGTACGTCACGCCCAAAGTAAGCGTCCGCCACTCATTGACCGGGAGAATCGGTGGGGAGATATGCGACAGACCTGTGGGTTGCCCGCGTGCCCCGCGACGATGACCCCACCGTTCTTATCCACAGTGATCGTGTTGCAGGTCAGCACATCGACGAGCGTCTCCCCAGGCTTGTACCCCGCGTCGGGCACGTTCCAGTTGGGCGTGGAGCTGCTCCCGACATTGGTCAGGAGCGTGAGCAGAGGCGGCTTCGAGATCGCAAGGGTCTTCTGGGAAACGGCGAAGAGCATCGCCTACACGTATCCCATCCTCTCAGCACTACTACCACGGAGAGTCACAATTGGTCTCAAGACAGGGCACATACTGGCGTTTTGAGGAAATTAGCGTTGTACGCCATGGCGGCTCGGCGCGCGGCATTAAGGATCTTGACGTGCGTCACTAGTGGCCTTTGCTGTATGTACTGGGACAGCCAGAGCCTGTTACGTATACCAGAAGGCGACTCGTCAGTATGCGTGCAAGAACTTGCTTGGGGTGCGTTGGAACTAACGCTTCGCGATTCTCGGGATCATCCCCCCCAGCGTAAGTCTGCTCCTGACCTGCGAATACCCCAGTTCACTTCAGCTAGATTCGACACTACGCTGCTTTGCGCACTGACCTTGGTAGAGGATGGGTATGCCGTCATTCATAAAGGGCCACGTTATCGCGTTCTTGATCAGCTACACGACATGAACGGAGTTTTTCAGCTCTTTCTGACGTGCGCGGGATGTGCAGAGGAGACGCACCGCGTTGTCTTGTATGAACGACGGTAAGCGCGGGTTGTCGTGGTTCTCCAAGAATGACCCGACCAGGAGCTCTCCCGTCTTGTACTGAGCCTGCGCTTCCCACACCTTCCGCGCGAGATCGGTGATGTTACCGGATGTGTTGGTGAAGGCAGGGACGAGGGAGTACCAGGTGGGGTAGTCGAGCACGCCGTCAATTTTGTCTGTTGAGTTGCCTGTTAGTAGGTGCTACGGGAGATGGAAGAGAAAAGGGAGAACTCACGAGTATAGTCAGCGACGTAAGAGGTGTTTGGGTGTTGAACCTCGCCCAGAATGAACACCCCAGCGGCGTCTGCAAACCCAGGCCAGAAGTCCTGCCGGATATGCCTGACAGTATCGACACGAAGCCCGTCGATCGAGTACGTGGTAACCAAGTCCTTTACCCACGCATTGAGCGTGTTCACGACATCGTCGTCCTCCGTATTGAGGTCCACCAAAGGCACGGACGTGTCCCCGAGCCAGCACTGTTCGACGTTGGTCTGGTTCTGCCAGTCTTGAATGAAGCACTCGGTGTGATAGGACGACTGTGACGAGAAGGGCTGGTAGATGTTGTAGTCTGGGGGATCGGAGGCAGACGCCATGTGGTTGACGACGATATCGACCATGAAGAGCATGTTGCGCCGGTGCAACTCGGCGCTGAGCGCTTGCAGGTCGCTCGCGTCGCCGAAGTGCGGGTTGAGGGCAGTCATGTCCCGTGTCCAATATCTACGAAGAAGGGTATTGAAAATATATGATGGGAATGAAGAGATGTTGGGACTCACCCGTGGTACGCTTCTCCGTAGGACGTGTTTCCTTCTATGTTCGCGACGACAGGAGAAATCCAGACTGCGTCGAAGCCGAGGTCTTGGATGTAGTCGAGCTTGTTGATGATTCCCTTCCACGTTCCTCCACAGTACTGACGTGCAGTGGCGTTGCAATGAGGGTCATGTCCGTCGGTGGTCGCGAATCTATCCGTGAGTAATTGGTAGATGGTCCTGCTGCGCCATTGATCGGCAGTCGCGGCGAAGACGGAAGTGATGAAAAGCAACAAGACGAGGAAACGCAACATAGCTGGAAGACTATGAGGTAAGATTGAATCCACACACGGAGTCTAAGACCAGTGTTGGCTTTGCGCGCGCGGTCCGAGCCTGTTTGTAAAACGCCGTCTAGGCGTTGAAGTGTCTTGACGGTGAACCTGAGGCGGCGGTAATGAACCAAGCGTGAAGGAGGGGAGCACAGACATCCTGTCGGATGACGGGGTTGAGTTATAGTCGCTGACGTGCCGTTAGCGTCGAAGCCACTGTGATCGAGCAAATGGTGAAGGTGTGTCAAGGGTGCGGGTATGTCCGGCCATCCATCCATAGTCCTTCGAGTTTCTGCATCCAATGTCTAAGATCTTCAGCTGCGCCAGATAGGGCGCGACGACTGGATCATGCCAACACCTACTCCTCCGGTTATTGCTTGAACACTCGTCGTAACGGTTACCTATCCTCGCATCAGTTAATCGGGGAGGGGGGTTGGCACTATACAATCGAAGTCGTACCTAATCATTCCCAAGTCTGGTATAGTTCGACAAGTGGGAAAATGTGCACCAAGGGAACTCGAACATCAGCGAGAGCGATAGAGCGGCACAACTTCACATCAGTCTTCTCCAAGATCGCTAAAGTAATGTTGTCAGTATTTCATGCTCAAAATAGGATCAAAATGTGCAAGTGCAGATATATGGCACATTTCCTATTGGGAAGTGCGCGAGAGGGGCGGGACCTCCGACATTAGTCGTCTACAGGCGATTCAAGCGCCTGAGCGCACTGCTGGCGTTAAGTGACGAATTTGGAAGGCCTGTGGCCAGGCTTCCCAATGGAGACGCTGACATAAGCAGGATTATGGGCGCTCCCCAAGGATTCCTCTGCGAAACGACTGCGGTGCATTTTAACAGACGTCTGGCTTTACGGCTTCTTCACGTACTCGCAGCCCTCTGCTTTGTCTAGCCTCGGAAATTGAAACATAGATCTTCTGCTATTCCTCGCTGCTGAGGCTCAAAAACTCCGGCTACCATGAAGCGCAGCCAGGCGTCCTCGCCTGTGGCTCAAGACACACAGTCTGCCCAAGCGAGCAAGCGACAAAAACTTTCAGACGAAGGCGACGATCACGTTCCCGAAGACGGAGGGGAGTGGACGAAAGTTGAGAAGCGGAAGTCTAAGAAGCAGAAGAAGATGGAGACGAAGTTAGACGTACGTTGTCACGTCTCTGCGGCAGCACCTCTTGCGCGCACTCATGTCGATCCTACCTCCACCTCAGACCAACCCTCCCAAGTTCATGTATGCAAAGAGCGAGATAATGAAGAGGAGGGAGGCTGTTGGAATTGATGTGTGTTTGTTGCGTCCCGTAGACTGGTGGATGTACTGAATTCACGCGTGCAGGACGTCCGGGACCTAGTCCTTCATCTAACCGCCGACGCGCCGCCTCCTAGCTGGGTCAGAGTCGAGGTATGTCACATTTTCTGTGTTTTCCTCCCTCGCAGGTCTCAAGAACGCACTCAGAACCCTCGCTCAATCAATAGAGTGGTCGCTCTTCTGATACCCGGACTAACACCAGACATTCTCTCCCTACCTCCTCTCCCGACATCCGCCACGTCAAACCCTAACGTCCCACTACAAGTGCCACTGCCACAGACGAATCTCGCCGGAGAAAGCTCGTCCGGGGTCCCCTTCATCAACTCCACCTTCACCTACGCATGTCCGACCCGCGCACCAGGCGACCAAAGCCGAATGCACTCCGTCCTGAACACATTCTTCCAAGGGCCCGTCACCGGAGAGGAGAAGAAGAGGCGACTGACAGAACGCTTGATTTGTGAGTACCCTCGGTTTGTCGCGTACCTTCCGTCGCCCATGCGGGATGGCTCTAGCAGAACGAACACAAGAAAAATCCCCGATGCGCTATCTCCTTACTCTCGAGCAGATGATCGAGAACGGGTACCCCGTGCCGTCATACCTTGCGGAAGTGTTTGAGAAGCCTCCAGGATGGGTCGAGACCAAGGTCAGCGCCGCGGACGCCACATTATTGTCACCTCCGGCGAGCGATCCTCCGCGAATATATGCGATCGACTGTGAGATGGTGTGTCATGCCCGATAGAGTCGCGTAGATACGTATTCACCAGCCAACTTTGTAGTGTCTTACAGAAGACGGCAAACAACTCGCCCGCGTCTGCCTCATCGACTACGCCTCCAGCATCGTCGTCTACGACGCGCTCGTCAAGCCCTCTAAGCCCGTCACGGACTACCTCACCCGCTGGTCCGGCATTACTGCCGAAGGCCTTTCATCCGCAACAGCGTCCTTTGATGATGTCCAATCCCATATACTCTCCGTCCTCTCCGCTTCACCGACCCCAGTCCTACTCGGGCACTCGCTCGAGTCGGATCTGCAGGCGCTGAAGATATGTCATCCACGATGCATTGATACGGCGCTGATCTATCACCATCCAAGGGGAAGGCCGCTCAAGCCCGGGTTGGCGTGGTTGACGAAGAAGTGGTGCGGCCGGGAGATCCAGAATCGGGGCGAGGGCGGACACGACCCAGAGGAGGACGCGCGGGCATGTTTGGATCTGTTGAGAAAGAAGGTCGAGAATGGTGCGTCTTCTCAAGATTTCGTGTCCTTGCTTGTGATAGACTAATGTGGTCGACTACCAGGCCCCGGCTTCGGCGAGTTCAAAGTCGACACCGAGTCCATCTTCGAGCGTATGTCGCGCTCACGCACAAAAGGCAACGCCCCCATCACCTCCGCCGTCGTCGACCACGGCAACCCCGCGGCGTGGCACGGGCAGAAGGCGACGACGTGCATCGCGTGCAAGTCTGACGCCGACGTCCTCGCCGGGCTCCTCTCTTCCTTGCCCTCGCACCATTTCCTCTTTGGGCGCCTCACGGCGCTCGCGGACGTTCGCGGGTGGATCACCCCCAAAGTCACGGGCGACGAGCCTGTCCCTCCCCCAACCTCGAGCACGAACGCGGGCCGGAAGGAAGACGGGGCGCCGCTCCTGGAGACGATGGCGATCCTGGACAAGCAGCTGCGCGAGCTGTACACGGCGCTCCCTGCGCGGACGGCGGTTGTGATTTTCACGGGGCACGCGGACCCGAGAAGGATGGCGGAACTGAATGCGCGGAAGGCGGCGTTTGAGAACGCGCTGAAGGCGGGGAAGAGCGTGGAGGAGTTGGGGAAGGAAGCGCGCTGGACGAGCGCGGATGGGCGGGAGCTGGAGGAGGAGGTCGAGAAGGCGAAGAGGGGCTTGTTGTTCTTGGGTGTGAAGGGCGCGTGAGGGAGGGCTGTGGAAGAGGCTGGTGCCGAGGTGAGCAATGCTTGGTCGTCGACAGTCCACACTGTAGCACTAAAGCGCAACTGTTGGGTATGTTTGTTCTGGCCAGCTTCGCTGTTCTTACCACATACACGGTTGGAGGAGTTCGACTACGGTGCACAGCCGTTAGAGAAGCGGTCATTGATATCAGTTTCGATGACAGCAATATTTGTCCACTTGCTAATGCCAGCCTGGGACTGGTTGCATCTAAGCCGTTTTCAGAAGTGACGTCTCCTTGCTGACCCGAGGCCACATGCCACCCAATCTCCTTGTTCCTACATATGACCGACCATTTATCCAAGTTGCAGCAGTTGCTATCCGACGAACTCCAGTACTGCTATTCAAGTCTAGGCACTACACTCTGTGCCAACCTCTCTGTATCGCTTGCCATGCGAGGGCATTCGCGTTGACCCGGGCAGGGAACGTGCAGTAATGAAGACAACGCGTGGGATTCGTTTCGCGCTCAAGACTCTGCCGAGAGTCATGATAGAGGTTTGTGCTACCTGACATCCTTTGAACAGGAGTTTTTCAATGACTTTTATCCAGAAACGCCACTGAAAAGGGGACGCGCGAGGCAAACAATCCGTGAATATGTGGCGTCTCTCCAGCTGGAAATATCCGATTCCCTGCCGTGAAGGCCTCGATGACTTCGGGACTCTCACGGATGATGGCTTCACTCTCATTGTGCGTCGCTTGCCTTATCTTCTCTATCGACAGGATTCTGACTGGATGCCACAGAAACAAGGTATCGAGGGCTGGTGTCGAGGTGTTGTTTTTTGAACGTCTGGCTGCCTTCGTTGTCTACCGCTCGCTATAATCCATCAAGAGACGATCCGTGTTGTAACTGCCCATCCATCATGTTGCTGAATAGATTTCCTCGAAATGAAGCCAGCGCCTGTGCTCGTGGCAAGACTGCCTTCGCGGCTTGAAAGGAACAAACACGCTATGCTACTGACACACGAAAATGCCGTCCATTGACGCACCGCATAGGTGTATCCGTCGGCTTCGAGCACGGACTCCGTCGGTGTGAACAGTCCTCTGATTCACCACTGATGACCACGGCTACGACTGCAACCGCACCAGAAAGCCACTGGAGCCTCGTATTGGGAAATCTATAGTCTTGACGATAACAGGCCACATGTCAGGAGTCGTTTGAGGAATGCCATAAGCCAACAACGATCGCAGAACTAAGTTGAGGTCGAAACAAAAGGTAATGTCATCTATTCCGAATCAGTCGACGTCGATAAACGACCAATCGCCTCCGCCGCGTTCTGCAACTCGGCAGATAGGCGAATTTCCGGACCTTCGTATATTACAACAGACTCCCAGAAGGCACGCCCACTCGCCTCCGGCACGCTTTGATGGTGCTCGTTAGAACGCCAGCGGATCATCGTATCGAATATGTCCGCAGTACCACTTGAGCGGAGCAAAATTGTTAAAGCAGCATGCACTCGAAGGAGCTTGGGATTGGGTAGGTCTACTCCAGCTTGTTCACGCCTTCGTTTCACTCCCCGGTGCTGAGAGGACTCCAGGTATGAGGCTGCCCTCTCGGCGTCGGCACTATCCATGGCCGGTGCCTCAAGACTATAGTCCTTGAATGTAACGCGATCCTGCGCCTGTGTAGCACCGAGGTAGTTCGACTTGTGCATTTGGATCTCATAGCAATTCGCAATCTGAATAATAGTCATCACCGAGCGCGCTATGAACGGTAACGAACCACACTTACGTCCGTCGGTAGTAAACACCACTTGTAGCGAATAAAAGCGGCACGTGCATTAGGTTCCAACAACAGAGTATTCTGCGGCTCGTCTGCGCCTGCCATGTGACGCAGTGATTCCTTTTCAACCTGACAATAACGTTGCAACATGTCTAGAGCTATGTCCTTCCATCATTTGTCAGTGTGGTTGTCGGTTTGAACATCCCGAAGGCGAAACCAAAACATGCCTGGTCATCATGGTGTCTCAACCTGACGCTGGCCAGCGGTATGGCTCCGATAACGTGCGTAACAAGTAGATCACTTGTGTATACACCCGAAAGGGCCTCTTCCGGAGTGCGAAAAAGCATGGCGCCTGACATAAAGCACCTATACCTATCACGCTGATACAACTGATATCCCCTAAGCAAGGGCGAACACAGAGCCAAGCATGGCGACTTACTTCGTCTCTCAAGACAGGCCATCGGCGGCTCGGGTACGCCACGGTATTCCGGAAGAAATCTTCAGATCTTCCTGTCGGGGTAGTATCTCCTGAATCTTCGCCAGATGGCTCCACAGGGAATACCGCTTGGATATAAACTGGACCTCGGAGTGTTAAGAACACGAACTGTAAGAGCGGGCAGTCGAAGAGCTTACGGGGCCAGAGCACAAAGGCAAGCCAAACCGAAGCGAGCCGACCTAACGCTTCTGAAACACTCTTCGGCTGATCTTGAGAACAAGTCACAGCGCTCTTGGCATGACTAGCACAAGCACAAATGGCGGCAGAAACATATCGCGCACCAAGTGGCACTCGAAGTGTAGTCGCTGCCTCGTACATCGTATCAAACAGTCGCCTCGATGTATACTTGATCTTCAATCTCGTATGCGACTGGATGCGGCGAACCCACTGAGGAACGTCGATTTCAACGAATGATGGTTCGTCATAGACCTGCAGATATTCTTGGGCTTGGCTACGTAAAGCCATATCAGAAACGGCGGGGTCATTCAGGAGCCGTTCCACTTCGACATTGAAACTGTCTTCAAGGGCGTAATCGAGCGACATGTCGATGAGGAGGGCGGGAAACTCTTGAGCTGAACGACTGCAACGAAGTAGGAAGACAAACGCCACGGTGTCACTGTCCCCAATTGCCACGCCTCGATTACATCCTCCGTTGTGACGGGCGCTTGTACAAATCGCTACGGTTACGATGTTTCTGCTTTTCACTCCTAAGCGGACGCGTCCACTTCGTCGATCCAGCCTTCTACTTCATCGTTGCAACTTATCTGCTTCGT